TTCATCAACGTAACTACACTCTGTCACAGCTTTTGTCATGAGACTTTTTACTTCAGTGTGTGACTGTCAAACCCCAGATTTTCAGGTCTAGTATCCTGAGGAACCTTTATCTCTCAGCCTTACAAGTTCTGTTTCCTCCAAGTTCCCTCCTGCCTGTCTAACTAGTGAAGAGTGGACACAATGTTCATTCCTACCGTCAGTGAAGAAGGGACATAGTGCTCCTGCGTTTGACTCATTGTCCCTTAAGGGCCTCATGATGACTCCTCGGGGCCTAGTAGCTGCTTGCTGTCCTTTGCAAAATCCCACGGCCATCTGTGGTGAGATGATAATCTACCTTGAGAGAAATCTGCAGGGCTGCAGTTCCTGTCCCAGACTTCCTGTGGACCTCTGGCCTGGTAAGCTAGTCTCAGTCAGCTGGGGCACAGTGGAGCATTCTTGGAATCCCACCACTCAGAGGATGGGACGGACCGGCTTAGGTTGTGAAATGTAGATCAGGTTAGCCCCAGTTGTCAAGTTGAGTAGATTTGGAATTGCCTGGAGGACACATCTCCAGGTGTGTTTATCAGGGTATTTCCGAAGAGGTTTAACAGAGACGAAAGGTCTGAACACAAGGCTCCAAGACTGAATGCATACGGAAAAGGGAGGCCAGATGAACACCAACGTTTGTCCTCCCGTGTCCTGGCCTCACACTCCTCCCGCCAGGTCTTCATCAGGATGGACTGCATGCACTCAAACTGAGCCAAAATAAACCCTTCCTGAGGTCGAATTTTTCAGGTGTTTTTGTCACAGCAGTAAGGTGGCTGGCAGAGGCACGGGACAGCGTGCCCCAGTCTCCTCCAGTCAGCATCAAGATTGCTAGCCTGACACAGACATCCGGCTTATTTGCGATCATAGATAATGCTTACCGTGTGCTTGGGCTTCTGCTTAACGCTTTACATACTTAATTATTCTGTCCACACAGCAACCATGGGTTAGCGCCACACTTACCTTACACGAGTACCCTAGAGCTTAAGATGTAAGGGATCTGCCCCCGCCCAAGCCAGGACCATGCAGCTAGCAAGTAGGAGTAAGAATTCCTTAGCCCTTCAAAACAGCCCTTCCTGTTGTATGCTTCCCTTCACATTGCCCCACCCCACCCCACCCCACCCCGGCCCACTGCAGATCTTTGCCTGAAGGGATTCCTAGTAGGCATTGCTGGGTAGCAGCTGCCCTGATTATTTTTTAGAATAAACCCTACCCAGATTATTGAGGAGGAAACTGACACTCAGTGAAAGTATCTGAAGTTTCCTGGTGCACAAGGTATATGCTTGTCTTTTAACTTGTGAGAATTTTTCCTAGTTCCCCTCTCATAAGCTTCCAATCGAATGAGATTCCTTCCATTAGAATTTTATCACTTTAATTCTTACGGTCTCCATCTCACCTGCCCATTCCCATCCCTTAGGTAAATGTGAACTACGCACCTGGGGAGGAACCAGGCAGACTCATTTTGGAAAGCAGCTGCTGTTTATCCTTCACCAGAAAAGCATGTAGTACCTGCCAGTCACTTCCTGTTTGCAGGAAGCTGAGCCTTATGTCCTAAACATCTTAGGCACTGAGGTTAACCAGGCATGTTTTTGGAGTCCTCTCCAGCCTCCTCTATTGTGAACATCTTTCCTATGCCCGCATATTTAATCTAGCCTTATATATGAGAGAAATCAGTTAATAATTAAAATACCACTGTTAATCAGCATAATATTAATATAACTAAGATGTCAACCTAAACATGGTTTTGTTACCGTCTCCATTTTACAGATGGACATCTGGTGCAGAATGGCTACAGCACAGTGGATTCAGAGGGCCAGGGCTGCACAGTTGGGAACGAGAGATATTATTTATAACCGTGTGGGTGACCCTGCTTCACCACCTACTGTATCTGGATGAGGCTTAGACTAGAAGAGTAACAGGACTCACATAAACTTAGCCGTTGCTTTAAAGAAATTTCCACATACGCTTTTCTACAGTCTCTTATAAGGATGGGTTTAGTAGGGGCTGGCTCCTGCACAGTAGAATTAACAGCTCACAAAGTTGTCCTCAAAGTCTGCCAGTGCTGAACCTCTTGCTCCTGGTGGCCTTGAACACTCCACAACCCTGAGGTTAGGTCATATCCTTTGAACTACTGCCCCATCTCTTGTCCTTCCTTGCTTTTGTGTGGCTTTCTGGGATTGTATACATCTATTTACTCTCCTTCAGGCTTCTGTTGATCAGTCAGCCATCTCTTGCCTAAGAATACCAAACCCACAGAGGCTTAACTGTCCCCTGCAAACAGCAAAGTGTTCGCATACAACCTACACACATCCTCACATGGACTTTAAGTCAGCTCATGAGTATTTACATCGCAGAGCACGATATGATTTCTTACCTTTGTCTTTATTCCCTAAACAATACACTGTAATAGTCATACTGTTGTTTGTTTGTTGATTTACAAATGTTATTCCTAAGTAAGCAGTAAGGGCAAAAAAAAAAAAAAAAAAAAAAAAAAACATCGATCTGCAAATACTCAGTCAAGACATCCCCAGACATCATCTATGTGTGCGATCGGTTGAACAACAAATGTAAAAACCCATGAGTATGCAAAGGCAGCTGTCCTCTCGTTCTCCGCTTTCAGCTTTTCCTGGTTCTGGTTTTGACAAGCTGTTGGAGCCTGGCCACTGTTCCTGTAAGAAAGGAGTGCCTGCCCGCTGACATTCCCTTCCACGTTCACTTCCTGATGATTTCATTGACAGTGGGAAACTCTCCATGGCATCTTCACAGGGGACAGGGAAATAACCTGTTAGGATGTATAATGTAGCTGATAGTTGTTATTTTTAATGCTGCTCCAAGGTGGCTCGAGTATTAGAACATGAAGAGGACTTATTGGTAGTAGATAAAGAGGAAAACCACTTAAGGTGATTTATTATGTAATTATCTGAAATACATGCGTAGACCTAAAATGTGAGGCTTTAGAAAACACAAAGTGAATGGCGACGTTGATAAATGGGAGCCAGTTAATTCATTAGTATATGTCATCGATGGAGGATAGCTAGTTCAAAGGGAACTAGCGTGTCCTTTCATGTTTCAACTGATTAGATAAATTAATGTTTAAGAGTTGAATTTACCCCTTGTTTTTATGCATAAGTGTTGATTCTGGTATCAAAATTATTACATTCGTGAATTTAAAAACGGATTTAAAAGTCATTAAAGTGGTAGAATGCACTTACTTAAAAACATAATGGTTATACCTTACTCTGAACTTTCAAGAGGAATAGAATGTTCTACCTAATAAAAAATAAATGTGAAGTGGAGGATGTGGCTTATGAGCTGAAATGGAACTTATAGCTCAACCTATTCTTAGGCTAAACTCTCTCTGTGTGTGTGTGTGTGTGTGTGTGTGTGTATGTGTATGTGTGTGTGTGTGTATAGGTATTTATTTCACATATGTATACATGTATATGGACCATCATTTTACTCAAAATATAGCAGCAACTACCTGGGAATCTTAAATGTGTTTGATGCCACTTGAATTTGGAGAAGCAGGTTAGGCTGCCCACAAGGGACATTAGTAGAACCTTGTAATCTCCCAAGGGAAGCTAAGCACTGGCAACTTTGTGCTTGTGCTTGTGTTTTGTGCTGGCAATTGCTGCTATAACTGGAAGACTCGAAGAGCAGCCAGTTAGAATCCTCCCTGCCTTGGTTTCTCTTCCTCTAGTAAACATGCAGCTTTTGCACAGTAGGAAACAACCCGCCTCTCCACGTTCCACGTCGTTAAAAGTCTGAGCTAAACTCGAAATCTCTTCAGACCTCACCGAGCCAGCCGTGGGCTGTGTAGAATGCCACTCCACTGTTTCACACACTTTGGTTGCTTGCACAGGAAGAGCATCCAGTTCATAGTCTGACCTGAGCATGGCAAGGGAACAGTGTGCATGGACAGAGCTTCATCTTTGTGCAATACATTGTTCACACCTCACATTTTCATATTAATTCATAGTGCAGATCTTCTGTTACAAAGGAAAATGAGATAACTGAATCATATTTGATAATCATTTAGGTTCCTTCTCTTCGGTGACTTGTTTCTTGGAATTTCAGTTAGCTTTTGAATTCATGCACTAATCATGTCACCCAGTCTGGCCTTGAACACAAGATCCTTCTGCTTTCATCTCTGAAGTGCTAGCATTACAGGTTTACACCCCCATTCCCAACAGTGTTATCTTGAAAATGCCACTCTTTACATTAGTAACTATTGTTGTGCTCAAGTCTAGAAGACCCCCAGAGACAACCAAGGAGACAGACTCACCGAACTGCAAACACAAGGCTTTATTGTTTAACCCTACAGGTAGGGACTCTTTATCTAGCAGGCTAACACAGCAGCCTCCAGAGGGAGTGAAATCCCTTGTCTATTGCCAGAATTTAAAGAAAAAAAAAAAAAGTCACAGGATTGCATTAGTAGGTATGGGTCAGATCCTGATTGGTTGACATTTGGAGAACAATTAGAGTCAGGGCAACTGGTTTGTTCGTATTTTTGATTGGTTCCTACAGATGGGATGTTTGGTGGTTTCTGTGGCTTTGTCTGTCTCTTGGAGGTGGTCTGTTGTACTAAATACCAGGGACCAATACTTTCATCTTTGATTTTGGTGCTGTTAACTATTAGTAATATATTTTCCTAGACGTGAAAAACCTCACTTCATTCCTCTGTGATGCTGTTTACATGCATTTATAATTTTTTTAAAAAAATTGTTAATTATTCATAGTTACTTGACAAGAACAACAGATGGGAATTGTCTTTATACTATTTGATTTTCTTTTAAGGCAGCTTACTACATACACATCACAACACAAGCATCTGGATGATAATCCAAAGCTGAAAGGCTTTGACTCAAGTGGAAAACGTCTGCTAAATTGGCCGGTGGGTGGAAGGCGCAGGAAGCGTTCTGTGGACGACTGAGCAGCATGATGCGCTATTTTGTTTGTTTTGTTTTGTTTTTAAGGAGAAGCATTAGCTGCTTGCAGAAGAGCATCACCTACATGGGAGCCTCTGCCTTCTACGGTTTCAGAACGCTTTTGCTGACGAATTGAGAAAATGCAGAAGATCTTGCAGACAGATGAAATTACCGATAACCAAGTTCTTAGGAAGAGAAAGAGGAAACGGACAGAGACGGTGAACTCAGAAAATGCAAATAGTGCTGTGGATAAAGCACAGGTTGGTTTTCTGTTGCTTTGATTTAACCCTCTTATCTAGATCAGCCACGGTCTACAGTTCCTGCCCTTGCTTCTTGGTACTTTCTCCCCTTTCCTAGTAATTTGTGTTCATTCTTCATTCAACTCAGAGAATATAGTTTCTGTTCTTTTTTTTTTTAAGCTTGAGTTAGAAGCGCACTCAATGGGCAGCTTCCCTACTTCATTTCAGCCAGGACCAGATATGTCAGTGTTTTGCTTGCTGTCCTACACATTGAAAGGTCATCAGACTGAAAATATTGTTCCTCACAAAATACTTTGTGGAAATTGCATATTTCTTCATTAAGACATACTCTCTGCTCTCTGTTTAGAACCTAGATCACGGCAACCCTCACCACCTCATTCCCTCCCTATACTTGGGACAACTAACAGACATGCCCCTTCTCTATTTTTTATTTCTGTGTCTTTAAACAGTCACATATTTGTACCTGTTTGTAATACATGCAGCATGTTCTTAAATTTTTAAATATTACACTCTCATAACTTGGATAGTTTAAGAGTAAATAGTGATGCCTGCCTTGCTTCCCTGTCTCCCATGCACTCTGTTCATACCCCAGCTCACTCCCACTGCGGCTTTTCAGTCCTCCCTGCATTTCTTTATTTATAATAAAATATAACTTATCACACACACACACACACACTGCTATGTACTTTGCTTTTCTGCTTATCATTTAAAGATCTCCCCCACTGACAGACAGCTTTTTTGCAAGCTCCGGTACCCTACTGTGTAAATGTGCCATCCTTTAGGTAGCTATCATGTGGTTTTCGGATTTCTTCATATTGCAGTGCACATTACACTGTAAAATACTATGTGCATATCGTTTAGTGGCGCGCGGATATCGTTTATATAAACCTTAACTTGTCTCTGAGTTTTCTATAAGCACTACATTTTTTTTCTAAAAATCATTTATAAGACTTAACATTATGAGATACATGTAAATCATAAAACATGTTTTGTAGAGAAACAAATCAGCATTAAATCAGCTTATGTTAGTTATACATTTTTTTGGTTACTTTTAGGGCTGGAATAACTAAAATCTAATGATTTAGCACAACTATACCCCATCAGTTACCTCTGTATTGAATACACATAGGAGGATGACTTGTGGATTAGGAATTGTGTACTTGTTTCTGTTCATTTGATTAGACATTATAAGACTGCATGAATTAATCACGTCAGTGATCAACTCCAAGTCACGAGGAACACACTGGTGTCACATCAGGAACAGAAATAGAGGTTCTTCCTATTTGAGTCATTTAACCAAGAGCGAGTCCAGATTTCAAGTCTCTTCTTCATGGTCCCTGTGTTACCTGCCTGCATGCTGTTTGAGCCTGAAGGCAGTCTTGTGAATCTGTCTCTGTGTCTGTTCCTGTGTGTGTCCTGTCTTTGGGCCTCTGTCTTGTGTGTCTGTCTGTCTGTCTGTGTATGTCTGCTGCATAGCTGTGGTGTGACTTTGTCTTTATTGAACAGCATAGAAAGCATCACACAGGGAAGGAATGGGAATCTTTCCCAGTCATTCTTACAGGAATCTTCAACAGAGTCTTACAAGAGATGATGCCACCGACTCCCAACTGACCCAACTGACCCAGACAACAAACATAGCTACAAACATTGTTGATCAACCAATGTCCATAAACGGATGCCTTTAATTTTTATAGTAGATTTTAGAAAGATGCTTTCAACCTCTATTTTTGGCTGCCTTCAGCAAATTATACCCGTGTGATACTCCAGGTCAGAAGCAGGAAGAGTACATAATTTAAGATGACAGCTATGCATTAGCTTAGGTCGAGAAATCCAACTAATTCCCATGCTTACATGTGTTAGCTTATATGGGAAATCCAAAGCAAGTAAGGTGGGCTATGACATTATTCTCTTAAAGGCGGTTTGTTTGGGTTTTTTGTTTTGTTTTGTTTTGTTTTGTTCTTTTTAAGGCTGAGTAGACAGTAGGGTAGAGATATTTTCATAAAATTTGCATTGCCACATAAGATGGTTTTCTGAAGGTCTCTCTCTCTCTCTCTCTCTCATACACACACACACACACACACACACACACACACACACAGAGTCAGCATGCCCAGGGACAGTGCACAGGCCTTTTTGCATTTATACTTTCTTATCGATATTATCAACATTGATACTATCAGTAGCAGCATTAATTTCTGATTTTTGTCAGCTATCTTATTGTAACTTGCTAGTGCAGGCTTGAAGCTGTGCAGGTGTAAAATTAGCACATGCTCTTGAGGCCAGTATGGTGCTGAGTCTGGCACTTCACTGTCCTCAAAAATCTTAATACTGCTCCAAACTACACAATTCTGTCTGTTTTCACTGCGGTTCACTACAACCAGAGGAGAGCTTATTTTGGTCAAAGACCTTGGGCCAAAGAGCCATCTTCTTTTATTATTGTATCTATGTTTAGCCTTTTTTCTGGCCAACTTATAGCAGTTACCTAAAGGCCTTATGAAACAAAACAAAACACTTGAAGGTATCGCTTGACTCCTGGATACCATCATCAGAGATCACACTGGAAGGCTCTTAAGAAAACCAAGGTGAAAGTCTACCCACTATTGACCTAGGGAAGTAACTGTGGAACATTTCTCCAGTCTTGAAGATTTGAATTACGTGGGGCTGCAGTGTTGAAGATTCTCACATTGTTGATTTGTCTCCCGCAACACACAGCTTTGTCTCTGTGTCTGACAACTGTCGAGGACTTGCTTTTTTCTCTCTACATTGTACTAGCCTTGACCCTCTGTGGCTCTGATTTACCCACTGCCTGTGCTGTGTAAATCCCGCTGTCCAGGGCCAGCACAAGAGCCCTGTCCACCGTCCTGACAGTAGACACTTGGATTGCCTTCAGATTCTCACCATTATTAATCTTGCTTCATTTGAAAGTCTTGGGCGTGGTTTCCTGTATGCACACACAGATCTGGCGATCCTTTGCAAGAGCACAGAGGAGATAAATTTTAAACTTTCTAGGATAATATTACAGTGCTTTCCAAAGCAGTACGCCAAGTTCTCTTCCTACTGCAACATATAGAGAATTTCAGTGATCCATGCCCACCCTGTGGAGTTTTGTCAGAGTCCATGGGTTTTAACCCAAATAGTAATTGGTAGTGATTGTGATCTCATCTCTGCTCACTGATGAGACGGAATACCTGTGTCTACTGATGAGCCATATAGGTTTTATGTTCAATAAAATGAACTCTTCATATTTGCCCATTTTCCCAGTGAGTTGCTCTTTTGATTAACAATGCACAGATATCATATTATAGCTAATTTTCCATTGATTCTTATTGTCTTTTTTCTTGTTTAGTGTGCCTTACTTATGAACAGAATTTCTTTTTTGATATTGTGATCAGAGATTTTATATCTAAGAAATGCCCACGCCAAGTTTAAAATGTATGCCTTTATGTTTCCTGTATAATTTTTGCATTTTGCTTTTAATGACTAAATTCTTAATCCATCTTCAGAAATTTGCTTGTGTGTGTGCACGCGCGCATGTGTGCGAGTATACATGTATATGTGTACACTTACGTAAACACCTACATGTGGGTGTCTGAATCTGTGTGTATGTGTATGTATTAATGCATGCTGAATGTGTGCATGCGTGTGTGTGTGTGTGTGTGTGTGTGTTAGTGCATGCTGAATCTGTGTGTGTTTGTGTTAGTGCATGCTGAATCTGTGTGTGTGTGTGTTAATGCATCTGTGTGTGAGAGTGTGGTATGTATTAATGCATGCTGAATCTGTGTGTGTGTTAGCGCATGCTGAATCTGTGTGTGTGAGTGTGTGTGTGTTAGTGCACGCATCTGTGTTTAGAATGAGGCTGGCATCCATTTCTTTACCTGTGTTGACAAAGCTGTATGGGCCAGCACCCAGCATCCTGGGTTGTGCGGCTCTCACTTCCCAGGTGAGCTGCCAGCCCCGCCCCTCTGTCTTACATCACGGCTCTCAGGCTCAGGCATCTATTTTTTAGCCACTCCCGCCTGCTTCCTGATAATGTTGTCTGTCTCTGTATCAGCACCAAACTGAATAGGTCTGAATTTTTAATAACACCTTGGATTTATAGAGAAGTCTCAATTTCTGGTAATTCTTTAAGGACTCTTGGATATTCTTGGCTGTTGAGCTTACAAATTTATAGACATTGTTTTTAAATTTTCATTGCAATTGCATTAACTTCATATAGTTCAGCTGGAAGATAATCAATATTTTTACTTATGGCCTTCCTTTCATCTCTGAACGTTGCCCTCTACATTGAGGGCACGTTTCCGTTCAGTAAAGGCGTTTTGTTTTGTTTTGTTTTCCTCAGAAAGAGTTTCCACCCTTTTTTGCTATTCGGTAATGACATCTATTCTTAAAACAAGATACAAACATGAACATAAAAGACTTAGGCTCTAAGGTTGGGGGGGAGGGGAAATCAAGATATTCTATGAAAATGTACTTGTTGGGCTTTTTCCTTGCAGCGCTGGACATGACACCAGCTCCATTCCTGGCTTTTACTAACCAGAGAATTAAAAAGAACGTTTAATGGAAGTCTAAAATGCATACGGAAAAACACACATATCAGAAATGTGGTTTCATGAGTTTCTACAAGATGAATATATCCCTAGAGAATTAAATCGTCACCATCTCACTAAGAGGCCCCTCACATCCTAACTTTAGCTGCTCCCTGTACTTGTCCCCATGTGTCCTTACAATATGTGGTGTCTTTTTTAACTGCTCTAATCATCTGGTACACAGAGCAAGAATGTGCTGCCAGCTTATTGAACTTCCTCTTTTTTTTTTTTTTTTTTTTTTTTTTTAAAGACAAGTTTGGTTTTTTGTTTGTTTGTTTTTTCTGTCCAGCCCAGACTGATCTGTATCTCAGGCTGACCTCTTGTCTCTACTGCGAAAGCCCTGCAATTAAAGACTATGACACCACACCTGCATGTTAACCCAGATGAAAAAGAAAAAGTGTAGTGACATATTATTTATAATGTAGTAAAGCTTGCCTGAGGATTCAGAAAGCAAAGTCAGCCACAGGCCATTGAAGCTAGGCACACACCTTTTAATCCAAAGTAGGAGGTGGTGGAACACACCTTTAATCCTAGGACTCGGGGTTAAGATGGATCTCTGTGAGTCCAACGCTACCCAGAACTACACAAGATGAAGTCAGTCCAAAAGAGTAACAGAACTCATGCCTTTAATCCAGGGCTCGTGAGAGGTATATACGTCAGTATCAGAATTCTCCAGCCCTGCTGAGGGGAGGTTACAGTCTGAGGTTTGGTGAGAGCTCGTGGAGATAGGATCAGCCCATTCAGCCTGAGGTAGAGGTGAGAAGCTGGTCTGGTGGCCGGCTGCTTTGCTTTTCTGATATTCAGCTTGAAGTTTGAACCCCAATGTCAGTCTCTGGGTCTTTTATTTTTCACGTTACAGGAAGGAAGTCAGATTTTGAAGTACTTATGACAAGGGAGCCCAAGTTCGAACGGTGGCTTTGCTGGGTCTACCATATTACGTCATAGTCTGTTTTTTCACTGGTTAGGCAGAAGGTCAGAATCCTGACTTCCATGAACCTTTTTCTCCTTTTCTGAGTTCTGAAAGCTGGAGGACCAAGCCGGGGCCATGCATTGTGGGAGCTACGTGTGGAAACAGGCATCCATGGCTCTGATTAAGTGGCTTTGGGGTAGCTGTTAAAGGAACTACAAGTTGTCTCTTTTTTTGTGCATGCCTTGTGTCTTAGAGAGACCCATATTCAGGAAATGCCTTCCTGCCTGGTGAGAGCTCCAGTGACGATGAAACTCCTTTAGCAGAACTGTCCAAGGAGGAACTTTGCACCAAAATCAAAAACCTGAAAGAAAAACTAACCAACATCCGGAAAGAGAACAGCCGGCTTCGGCAGTCATTGGTCATGCTACAAGGTAAACCTTAAAGGGTTTGGCTTTTTAGATAAAAGGGAAAGTATGGGATTGGTGTAAAATATTGTATTATCGCAGATCAACAGTTAAAAATGGAAATAAAATCAATTCCTGAGAGATCTCAAAAATTACATTTTAAGTCTGGCGTTGGTGGCACACACCTTTAATCCCAGCACGAGGGAGACAGAGGCAGGCAGATCTCTGTGAGTTCAAGGCCAGCTTGGTCTATGGAGCTAGTTCCAGGACAGGCTCCAAAGCTACACAGAGAAAACTTGTCTCTAGCCCCCCCCCCAAAAAAATAATTACATTCTAAGAAATCGGGCAATAGCCAAATGGAAATATGGAAGCACGCATAATTTAGATTGTCTCGCAATGTCCCAAATCTTGTTTTCCTTTAGTAGTAGTCAACAGATACCCACTGAACTGAAGCCATTTACACGTTGGGGCCCACAGGGGGAAAAAGAAACCAGTCAAGCCGTGCTGTTAGATGGACTCACTGCACGTGTCCTTTCAGGAAGACTCCAGGAATGGGACTGTTGTGACAGACACTGGTATTGCTGCTTCAATAGCTTTTGTATTGGGAACAGTGGCTTAAGAGAATGGCTACAGTCTAGAAGGATCTATCTCAGGAAATTAAAATTAAAAAAAAAAGGTTTGATGCTTCTCTTACTTCTGTAGGATCCATGTTTGTGTTCCAGTTTATTTTAAAAGGGTGTTGTTCTTTGATGTATCTATGTAATATATTATGATCACATCCACACCCATCTCCTCCCTGCAGCTCCTCCCGGGCCCTCCCAACATACTCCCCACCCCGACTCACAACTTCATATTTATTATTTTAAGAATGAAATAGCTTCAGTGCACAGCTCAGCACTTTTGTGTCTGTAAACCACTATGTGGCAGTTACCGGATATTCAGCATCACGATGTGCAAGTCCAAACGTATCTTCAGCATCACGATGTGAGAATCCAGATACACGTAACTTTCTGACAGTGTGCTTCTGTGCGCAGAACCCGTACAGATGGCACAGGGAAGGAAGTGAGGGCCAGCTGCCAGGAGGTGCCACAGCCTAGAGTGTCGCAGCACTCTAGGACGGCAACTGTGCAAATGAAGGCTTGGGGTCAGACAGGATGGGAGACTGGACCATGAGCGAAGGTTGACAGAAATGAGTCACTTTTGCCTAAGATAAACCGTTGGGCCTTTAGTCCTGCCCTTTAAAGATTGGGATTTTTTTTTTTATAATTGTTGCTTTCTTTTGGTGACACATTCAGAGAACAGAATGTTTTAATGTAACCTGCTCTAGGGCTTCCAATGTCCTGAAAAATCAAAGACAAAGCATTAGAATAACTGGCTGGTAGAGCACTCGTTTAGGGTTGCACACTTTGATTTCTGTGCCAAATCTACTGACTAGCTATAGGGCTTTGGTATGTCCCCTTTCCCCCAGTTTCAACTTCCTCATCTACAAAATGTTGCTTCCTTGTTTCTATGGGAATTGGATGAAATAAAGGTAACTTCTATATGCAATGCCCCACACAAGCTGGGAGATTCGGGAATGGTAACTTAGTATTTATTGCCTCCATCTGTTTTTTTTTGTTGTTGTTTTGTTTTGTTTTGTTTTGTTTTTTGTTTTTTTACTGACCACAGCACCAAGGCTCTGCAAGATGTTATGAGGTTAGGTCTTGTGATATCCCAGCAGAGTTCTTTCTCTGGGAGATTGTTTTAGCCACTCAAGGTCTTTTCTGGTTCCACGAGAATGTTCCTGTTCATTATTATCTAGATCTGTGAAATACGATACCTGAATTTTAAAGAATATTGCATTAGCTATGTACTTTAATTTTGGTATACAGCCATTTTTTTTTTTTTTTATTACTTTAATTCTATCAATGTAGGGCTGCGAAAGGTCTTTTCATTGCCTAGTGTCTCTGCTTTGTTTTTTCGGTGTCTTGAAGTTTTCATTGTGGAGGTCTTTCACTTCTTCAGTTTAGTTATGAATGAAGATGTTTTCCCTAATGTCTTTCTCTTATAATTCATTGTTAGAGCCCTTATGACCCAGTCACTTCCCCCAAAGGCCCAGGCCTGAACATGCTGCTTGTTAGGGACTATGTCTTTAATACGTGATCGATGCCCTTTGTGGGGACACTTCACATCCAAACCACAACACACACCTAGAACTTCCCAACTCCTATCCACCAATGCTCAATGCTATCATAAACTAATACAGCTGAAAACTCCTTCCTGACGCCCTTCCTGTCTCTCTTCTCAAGGCAAAAAGTCATAATGTTTCCTCTGTTCCTGTATTCCTGTCACTGTTTCCATTCAAAATAGTTCTTGACTTCAGTCTCTTTTCTCACAACCACCAAGGCTAATCGTTTAAAAAAAATAAAAAAAAAAAACTCTTATCATCTCATGTTTGTCTGTGTACTACGTGTGTAGTGCCCACGGAGACCCGGATAGAGAGACAGATCCTCTGGACAGGAGTTATAGACAGTTGTGAGCTGCCATCTGGATGCTGGGACTCGAACCCAGGTCCTCTGGAAGAGCAGCCAGTGCCTTAACCACTGAGCCATCTCTCCACCTATGTTGCTCCTCTTTTTTCAAGCCACTTTTATCTCTTTCACAGATTTTATGGCAGCCCATTTATGTAGGATGGCCCAGCCCATTGTGGTTGGTGGCACCACTAGCCAGGTGGTCCTGGATAATATTAAAAAAAAAAAAAAAAAAGACAGGTGAGCAAGCCAAACCAGTAAGCAGCACTCCTCCATGGCCTCTGGCCCTGTCCCTGCCTGCAGAGTCCTGTCCTGGCTTCCTTTTATTATAGACTTATTACAGATACAATTATAGACTATATTATAATATATACATATTATAGATATAGGCTTATATAAGGAAAGAAGGAAAAAACCTTCCTCTCCCGTTACCTTTGCGCTTAGTGATGTTTTATTATAGAAAAGAAAACCTAGCTAAGACAGAGGGTTAGTAAGTGAGACCTGGCTGGAGAATGGAGGACTTTGAGGCTGGGCTTTGAAGGGTATGCATGGGCCCTGATCCTTGCCATTGTTCTCTCCCTCTCTGCTGCCTCGATGCCATGAGGTGGGCAGCTTTTTTTCCAACATCCTGTCTGCCACCATATTTCTGCAGTGGCCTAAAAGCAACAGGACCAGCTGGCTGTGGGTGAAAATCTCTGAAACAGTGAGCCACAAGAATTAAGGAAAGGAGGCTGATGGGAGGTGGCGGGGTGGGGAACAGGAGGAGAGGAGGAAGGGGAAAACTGTGGTCTGTATGTAAAATAAAGGAAAACAGTTAATTAAATTTAAAAAATAAATCTATCCTCTCTTTAAGCTGCTTAGGCCAGATAACTGGCCACAGTGGCAAAGATTTAACCAACGTACATTCTAATAAGGGAAGGGCCTAAGACTAAATCACGTGTTATCTCATATGTGGTTAAGCTTCCCAACGTCTCTTAAACTTAGAACCAGGGCTGTTTGTCAGTGGATCTCCCTAAAAATAGCAAGATATATATATGCCACTGTGCAGCGGCAAACATGAGCGTGCTCTGCGTGGGTGTGTGAAACATTTGTAGCATCCCTGACCGATACAACTGACAAACGAGTACAATGGGAGGGTTAGTACATGGTATCACGTTTGTGCAGCCTGGAAACAGCCCACTGAAAACTCAACTCTTCTGACAAAGGAGATTCAGTAAAGGCTCATAAATCACACTTTTTCCTCCTCGTGTTTTAACCCCCCCTCCCATCTTGAAATGTTACCAAAAGTAGATTTAAAATAAACAGAAGCACAAAGATCAAGAAAACTCGAGAAGAAAGAGGAGGAGGAAGAAAAAGAAGATTACAAATGTATTGAAGACTGAAATTTTAGAAGCTGGGAAGCAGGCGATCAATGCTGACTTCAGCTGGGAAAAAGCGAAAGTTCTCAACATTGTAACTGAGACCATGGTGAAGGACAGCAGTGGACAGACTAAAAGGCAATGAGCCAAAATCATGCTGAGGTAATGATAAAAAGCTATAGGAATCGTACTATGAGAAGCTAACGGCATGAAGACCAAAGGAAAATCCTACACATAGACACATTCAAAACACACATGCATCGGTGCACTAGCATTTCTGGGCCATAGCAGAAGATGGGGTTTTCTTTCAGAAGAAGCTGAACCAAAGCTATGGAGTCAGGGACATTGGGTACATCTAAGAAAGAAGAGTATATGGTTATTTGAGAAGTGATTCTAGCATAGGCTAATGAGATGGCTCGAAGGGTAAAACGTATGTGCCACCAAGCCTAGCGACCTGAGTTTGATCCCCAGAATCATGTGGTGGAAGGAAAGGGCTGGCTGCTGCTAAGTTTTCCTCTGACCTTCACATGTGCACTGTGCCACATGTATGTACACATGCAAACACATGCACCCACATAATACATTAAATAAAATGCAAAAATAATAATACAGGAAAATATTCTAGCAGAGGAAACAGAGGAAATAAGTACAAAGGCAGCCATTAGAAGAAAGTTCCACCAAGAAAAGGTTCTGTATCCATGAAACAAGAACAGAGCAGTTCTAAAAATGAATATTCAAGGAACCAGAATCTAGAATCTCAACAGGTGGCTGGGCGTTTGTGGCACACGCCTTTAATCGCAGTACTCAGGAGGCAGAGGCTAGCTGATCTCTGTGAGTTCCAGGACAAGCTCCAAAGCTACACAGAGAAACCCTGTCTCGGGGGGTAGGAGGGGGGGAGTCTCAGCAGGAAGTGAAAGTTCAAAGAATATTATGGATATTCGAGCAAGAAGACAAAGAAAAAGATAATAACATTACTAAGCAAACACAGAATTAGTCTTGACACCCAAACAAGGAACCTTAAGAAATAGAAGAAGTATAAATTATATTTTAAAGAATCCATACAGTGTCCTTCTAGAACTGAAGGCTATACATTTCTATATCAAAAGATGCCAACTGAAAGCAAATACATTTATATACTTGAGCTACAGATGTAGCTCAG